TGTTGTCGTCATTTTTCAATTTGAACACCCACTTGTTTTTCAATGCTTTTCTGCCCTTTGGAAGCTCCACCAGCTCATAGGTATTTATTCTTTAATAAGGAATCCATCTCTGACTCCATTGCCTTCATCCATTTATCACTGTCGTTATGAGCTCTGGCCTCCTCATAAGTTTCGGGCTCTCCATAATTAGTCAACATGATATACTCTGATGAAGAATACTTGGTAGACGGTCTTCGACTTCTGCTGGATCTTCTGACCTGATCTTCATTCTCTTGCGGGGCTAGAGGCTCCCCCTGATTGGATTCTCCTTGAATCTGCTCTTCTTGACTAGGCTCCCCCTGATCAGCAATCTCATGGTCTGGCACATCTTGATCAGGCTCCTCTTGATCAGCATTATCTGATTCTGCAGGCACTTCATTGGCAGTTGCTTCAGGGATGTCATCGTGACTTTCTTCATCTGAAGCTAATGGATCAACTCCTCTGACTGCGCCATCTGGTTGTGCCTCTTTTTATCCGAATCCCCAATTGTTTGATCTTCATAAAAGACCACGTCTCTACTTCGGATAAACTTCTTCTGGTATGGGTCCCATAATCTGTAACCAAAATCTTCACCGCCATAACCAAGAAAGATGCACGGTGTAGCTTTGTAGTCTAACTTCGATCTCTGCTCTTTGGGCACATGCACAAAAAGCTTTGCAACCAAACACCTTCAGATGAGAGTAAGACACATCATTACCAGTCCATACTCTCTCTGGAACATCAAGACCTAATGGTACTGATGGAGATCGGTTGATCAAATAGCAGGCTGTCCTTACAGCTTCACCCCAGAACTGCTTAGATAACTTTGCAGTCCTCAACATACACCTGACTTTCTCCATGATGGTTCGGTTCATTCTTTCAGCAACACCGTTATGTTGTGGAGTTCCAGGAACTGTCTTCTCATGACGTATACCATGTTTTACACACAATACTCTCTAAACTGGTGAGATGTGTACTCGCCGCCGTTGTCGCTACGAAGGCACTTGAGAGGTTTCCCAGTTTCCCTCTCCACCATGGCATGGAACTCCTGGAATGTCTGAAACACCTGGTCTTTGGATTTCAACAAATACACCCACACCCTTCGTGAAGCATCATCAATATAAGTAACAAAATATTTATTTCTTCCAAGTGACTCGACTTCCATGGGACCACACACATCTGAATAAACAAGATCTAACAAGTTTCCTTTCTTTGTAGATGAAACAGAAAAACTAACTCTTCTTTGTTTTCCGAATAAACAATGCTCACAAGAGTTTAACGACGTACCTTTGGCAAAGGGAATATGAGAGACTTCTTTGCCAAAACTTGTAGGCCTTTCTCGCTCATGTGGCCTAGCCTCTTATGCCACAAGTCTAGAGATGAGTCTTCCACAGCATTCAACTCACCTTTCAAAACCTTGGCATTTGACCGGTACAACGTACAACAAAGTCGTGCTCTTGCTACCACCATTAAGCCTTTAGTAAGCTTCAATTTTCCTTCGCCAATATGGTGATAATATCCTTGTCGATCAAGGGTACCGATGGATATCAGATTGAGACGTATATCAGGAATATGTCTCACATCTTTCAACATCAATTGGCAGCCGAGATTAGTTCTTAAGCAGATATCACCAATTCCAAGAATTTTGGAATAGCTTTCATTCCCCATCTTCACTATGCCAAAGTCACCTTCTTTGTATGTACTGAAGAACTCCCGTTTGGACGTAGCATGGAAGGAAGCTCCATTATCAAAGATCCATTCAATGTCTCTGTCAGAGTTGCCTATATGCAGACATTCACCAACAGACAATATTTCTGGTACATCACCACATATGACAGCGGTGGTATTGCCAGTATCATCTTTCTTCTGATTGTTTCCTTCCCTTTGCTCTCTCTTCCAAACTCGACAATTTTTTCTTCATATGGCCTTCTTTGCCACAATGGTGGCATGCACCCCTGAACCTTGACTTGGATCGGCTAGGACTCCTGCCATGACCTCTAGGCCCTCTACTCTTGCTTCTTCCGCGGTTCTCTGTGACAAATACTTGGCTGCTATCTGTGCCAGAAGTCTTTCTCCTTGTTTCTTCATTGAGCATGCTATTTTTTAACATTATCAAGAGTAAGAACACCATTAGAAGCAGAGTTACTTATACTCACCACAAAGGTCTCCCAACTGTCTGGCAAGGATCCAAGTAACAAGAGCGCTTGTAGCTCGTCCTCGATCGTCATTTTCATAGTAGCCAACTGGTTGATGATATTCTGGAAATTGTTCAAGTGTTCTGCTACACTTAAACCATCCTTGTACTTCACATTGATGAGCTCTTTGATCAAGAAGGCTTTCTTGGCTGGGGTCTTCTTCTCGAACAAGGACTCAAGCTTCGTCCAAAACTCGCGAGCATTGGTTTCATTAGAACACATGGTGAAAAACACTATCATCCACCCATTGTCTAATTGTGCCAATAGCCTTGCGATTCATCTTCTTCCACTCGGCATCGGACATGCTCTCGGGCTTAGCGGCATCTCCTTCAATTGGCTCATGCAAATCCTTGCAATAGAGAATGTCCTCCATTCTTGGCTTCCATGTTACCCAATTGGAGTTGGTGAGTTTGATCATAGTGCCACTTCCTTCCATCTCGTAGTACGAGCCAACCGGGCTCTGATACCACTTGTTAGGAATGTCGGTACTACAAGATAGAGAATGCACAAAAGTAAAGTAGAAAATGGACACCAAAAATTTATGTGGTTCGGCAATTTATGCCTACGTCCACCAAACAAGGATCAATCTTCACTATATGAAAAGATGAGTACAACAAGAGTAGTCTTACCAAGCCAAAGACAAGGCTTGATGGATACAAGAAAGTAGGACACACACTTTCTATCACACTAAACTTCACTCACACAATGTGTAGTGGAACACTCTCACTCTCACTCTTGGAGTGGAACTCTAGCTTTGGACTTGATCCTTTGCTACTCACTACTCTCTTGATTTGTTGGTTCACTACAACATCACACCCATATTTATAGGTGAGGGTTTGGCATTCTACTAGTTTCTAGTGTATTCTTCAAACCTCTAGCATAGAAAGATCTAGACTAGCCACAAAAGTGTGGCTTCTAGATCTTTCCATTTGCAACCAAGGAAGCTAGTACTCTCTAGCTTCTTCCATCAACTTAATAACATGCTAGAATTGTCTAGCATGCTCCAGCCATCTCTCTTGCTTACTAGAATAATCTAAAACATTGATCATGGGCTGGACCATATACCAACATGGACTCGATAAGAGAATGCTAGGGCACAAAGAAAAGATGGATTGGGGTTCAGATCTCAGTTCTCCATAGCTTGTTAATCATATAGTGGCTCATTGCTTTTACGTTTTTTTTTGTTTTTAATCCATAATGTGTTCATACAAAATTTTTAAGACACATTGACCAAAACAAAAAAATAAAATTTACGACACATGAAGTCGCATTAAATTTTTGTTTTTATACAAGCAATACTGTGGAAAGTTACATCATATGCATGGGTTATTTCTTCTTACAATTTCTCTCAACTTTATGTGTTTTACAATAACCGTCAGCGGAATTGAGTTTATGACTTTTCTTAGCTTTTCGGGACTATAATTTTTTTTTGTCAATCTACGAAAGTAAAATATTTCCTCAACTTATATGATTTATTAATCTAACAACCGCACATTGTTGACGTATCCAATTAAATTTATAGGAATTCTTCAACTTATGTAATTCATGTGACTGATTCTTTCTAGGCATATCATCTAAGCCAATCAAAGTTAACAGATTTTTTTTTTTTAACAAATGATATTATCCACACTAAGGGATGAGAGAGTGGGCTAAGTCTCACAATGAGCTAGCAATAATGTAGTACGAAGAATTGAATCTAAAATCTCTCTCTTAAAAAGGAATACCACTAAACTATAGTATGAAATGGCAGTCAACAGATTTTAACCTTAGCCACACATGGCACTAGGCATTTTAGGGCATCTCTACTGAGAGACGCAAAATGCTTTACAATGAAAAATTTTACATTTTCGGTTAGTCAGATTGTTCTATATAAAATTTCATCTTGACCGGAAAATATAAACAAAAATGCAGTTTTGCATTTTTTTTTTAATCTTTGGATATGAGCCCCTCCAAACAAAAAGATAAAATTAAATGGATCCCGAGTTTACATCTCCAGTTGGTGTCCTTATACGTCGTAGGAAAATGTAAAAAGTAATCCTTTACATTTCAGATTTGCTTCTCTCAATTAAAAATACTCGTACATTATTATTTAGAAGCACTGAATAAAAAAACTTCATACTGCAATTTTCAAGACACCAGAAAAAGAGAGGATTTGTGAAGATTTTGGGAATCTTCTAATCACGTTCGATTATTATAAGCGGTTAGTTTTCATCAGATACTATTTATATTCAATTTTAAATAAAAAAAATTATAATGATTTATGACTGTACGATATACGATGAACGGATATAATTTGAAGATCTTTAAAATCCTCACAAAAGAATCCGACAATAATCCTCACTCTCAAAAAGAAAAATACACTCATGTCACCTTTTAGTGCAACAACTAACAAGACACATTTATCGGTCAATGGTTGAGGCAATTTATTTATTTATTTTTAATTTTTGGACTCTTGCTAGGCTACACATTAGGCCGAAAGAGGTTAGCTGGTAAAAATTATGACACATTGGGCCAAAAGTAATGACATATTGGGCCAAAATATGGCCGAAAGAGGTTTGCTGGTTAAAATTAATGACACATTGGGCCAAAATTATAACATACTGGATCGACATACAGCCGAAAGAGCTTCGCTGTGAAAATTATGACACATTGGGCCGAAAGAGTGTTGCCGCTTAAATTTATGAAACTAGTTGACTTTGCAGCGGCAAAGATGAGATGATGCAATGGCAGCTTTGATAGACTTTTAAAGTTAAAAACAATAAAAAAGATTTCAAACTAAAATTGTAAGGGGCACCACAGAGGTGCGCCCCTAAAAAAAAAAGGCGTATGCCACTTAGAAATGACGAGCACACGGTGTTCTTTAATAAAAGGCGAAAGAATAAATCGCTTTGTGCTCAACGCATGGCTCCGTGGGTTTTGAAGAGGCACGTTGCGTTGGTTGTGAACTAGCTACACTAGCTAGAGCTGCTGTCGCCGTCGGTGTGGGACGCCGAGCGTTACCGCACTCTTTTATGAAATTATGACTAATAGGTTCAGTCCAATCCAGCAGTCAACATACAAAAACTTGGACCTCCATTTGATATTGTTGTAGACTTATGAGAATCGTACTGTACTTCCAGGTTCAGCTCCTACTTTAGTACCAAACAAAGCCTCAGTCGATTTTCAGATATACTCTCCATTTTACCCCTTTATATTGAGAGGCCATTCCCAACTTTTCCGGTGTCGACAAATTTGCATGTGACACAATATCCCAGTTTGATAGGATGTTGAGTTTCAATTTATATGTCTCAGGTTCAAAATTCTCGCCTCCTATCAATTATTGTTATAATTTGGAACTCTTCCCTTCACCTTAATAATAATAAAATTAAAAAAAAAATATATGCAACTACTTAATTTTATTTAAGTTTTCATTTTTTTTTTGTCAAAAGTAGTCATGGAATTAATCCATTCTAATTCTCACAAAAATAGTGATCAATTATTCTTTTATAACTAATTCATCTTCTAGCTTTAACTTTGACAGAAATTTAAAATTTCTTGCAAAACGTACATAGAGTCTAATGAGTGATCTCCAATCCAACCCGAGAGAAGACTAGTCCACACAGTATTTGAGTGGAGAAAGCTTCCACTCCACACGACAACTTGTATTTGAGATATTTTTCAGTGCCGGAACAGGGTTCGGTATATTAGTGGTTGGCCTAACTACTACCTAACTATACATCTTAATGAGGCCTACGATATTATACTCTACCTCTTTCTTAAACATCTATTTATAAGAGAAAGGTATCGTTGAAAGCTGCATACATGCAACTGAACATTTGACACTTCCCAATTCTAAACCCTCTCTCTCTCTCTCTCTCTCATGGGGATCTTGATGGCAACGTGTTTGCTGGCTCTTTTCTATGGTTTCTCCTGCCTCTGCAAGTTACTTCTCAGAAGGAGAGACCAGGCATGCTATCTGCTGGCCTACGAGTGCCACATGCCACCAGACGACATGAAGCTCAGCGCTGATTCATGCGTGAAAATCGTCTCGCGGAACAGGAATCTGGGACTGGAAGAATTCAGGTTTCTCTTGAAAACTATTACCCATTCGGGCATTGGCCAGGAAACTTACTGCGCAAGAAACATCATCCAAGGCCGAGAAGAAACTGCAACCCGAGAAGATGAACTTGCGGAGATGGATGGCATCATCTTTGACGCACTGGACAAGCTTTTCGCACGGGCTACCTCAATTTCTCGGTCGCAAATCGACATTCTTGTCGTCAATGTGTCGATGTTCTCCCCTGCACCGTCCCTATCTTCACGTATAGTGAATCGTTACAAGATGAGGGACGACATCAAGAGCTTCAACCTCTCGGGAATGGGCTGCAGTGCGAGCCTCATTGCCATTGACGTTGTACAAAACTTGTTCAAGTCACACAAGAATGCGAATGCCATCGTTGTAAGCACAGAATCGTTGGCTCCTCATTGGTATTGCGGCGTAGAAAAATCCATGATGCTCACAAACTGTCTCTTCCGCTCGGGAGGGTGCGCGATGCTGCTCACGAACAAGCGAAGCCTAAAGCACCAAGCCAAACTGAAATTAAATCATTTGGTACGAATGCACACCGGCTCAAACGACGAAGCATATAACTGTTGCATACAGACAGAAGATGAGAGTGGAAATCGAGGTTTCCGCCTTACCAAATACCTAGTAAAAGCAGCAACTAAGGGTTTTACAAAGAACCTCCAAGTTCTAGCACCAAAAATACTTCCACTAAGAGAAATACTTAGGTATCTGGTGGCCTCTAGGCTTAACAATATTAGAACTAGTATTACAAGCCAAAAGCCAAAAGCAGATGGGAGACTAGGGTTGAATCTCAAGACAGGAATAGAGCACTTCTGTATTCACCCTGGTGGAAGAGCAATCATAGATGGGATTGGGAAGAGCTTAGGGCTAAGTGATTTTGACGTTGAGCCGTCAAGAATGGCTCTTCACCGGTTCGGAAACACATCGGGGGCCGGATTTTGGTACGCTTTGGGATACATGGAGGCAAAGAAGAGGCTTAAGAAGGGGAACAGGATTCTGATGAGTGGATTTGGAGCTGGTTTTAAGTGCAACAATATTGTGTGGGAAGTGATGAAGGACTTGGATGATGTCAATGTGTGGAAAGACTGCATAGATAGTTACCCTAGGGATCTAAACAAAGTCAATCCGTTCATGGAGAAGTATGGCTGGATACATGATGATTATATAGGCTTTGTTAGGTTTGACATGTCCCTATTAGTTATTGAGTAATGCTACACTTACAACATTTTTCATATTACATTTGGATCATTTTCTCTAATAGAAGTAGGACCCATCAACTTATGTGGGTCTCATCTCTATTAGAAAAATGGTACAAATGTGGTATGAAAAATGCGATAAGAATAGCATTTTTATTAGCTGTTTGATTTTTCAGCACTTAATAAGTTTGCGTTTTTCTTTTACCTTGTGGAGAAGTGTGGTTGTTTGAAGTTTGTATGAAGTTTTTCAAGCCCTGTAGTCAGGATGTATCTCATAAATAAACCCTGATCGATTAGGTGTTCCAGGTTTTTTTTTATAAAAATAAGAGTTCATTAATTTTCTAGATGTGAGGCCATGATCTATATCAGTATTTCCTTTGCTAGCAAACTCTCTTTTTGATATATTTGTATTCCCTTTGCTAGTACTACATTTACCACAAAGAAGTACATTACTCTCATAGTTAGAGAGAACCGTCACTGGAAACACCACTTCATGTCCGACTTGCATGTGTTAAGCATGCTGCCAGCGTTCATTGACGTGGCGGTATACACCTAGCTCCACAGCAAAGCAAGTCATTAACTACTGGTTTCTTTCCTCCAGAATATCACTTGTAATAAAAATAAGAAAACACTACATATTTCAACCTCAGCAGCAGCACACCTCGTATTTCCTTCACTTTAACAAGTGATATTTGGCTTGTATGACCTGTGGAGATTACCCTAAATTTTCAAGGACAAGACAACTGTTTGGTTCTAGGGCATCAAGGGTAACAGCTAAAGAAAATACAAGCTGAACTTTTACAATTTAAACACTGAGATTTAGGTGCACCAACAGAGGTGCGCCCTTCAAAAATAGGCGTTTAAGCGATGAGCACACAATATTATTTAGTAAAAGTTGAAAGAATTGTTCGCTTTGTGCTCAATGTATGGTTCCGTAAGTTTCCCGCAGCCTACAATATTTTATGGGGTGTGATATCCACACACCTGACCTCATTTTACTTCTCATATACCCTTTTAATTTTCGGCCGTCAAATCGAATGAATTAAAGAAAATCAACGGACAGAAATTAACAAGAGGTGTGTGAGAAGTAATTTGGGATATGTGGATAGCACACCCCTTTTTTATATGAGCTCGAAGGTAGATAGTTCTTTGCTCCTGTGGCGGGTGTGGGACAAATAGTTTGGCGTCCACTTCTTTGCTAACTCCCAACTTTTTTGCTCAAATCCCACAGAACCTCTGGTCTATTTTTTGCTATTGCCACCAAAATTCTTTGCCCGTTGAAAGATCATATCCAGTCCAAAACTCTGAGCATGCAAGTTCCTTTGTTGATTCTTAATATGAAATCAGGCCTTGATTGCGAACCAAAGTGGAAATTAGTTGACAAGAATTCTGTTGAAGACTTATAGGGCACGTTTGTTTGACAGGATTAGCAAGGCTTGGACTGGACTAGACTATAGTCCTGTGTTTGGTGTGCAACCGGATTAGCTTTAATGGGCTTAGGTGGGACTCGCTCGGATTACACGCCTCCTTACGAGTTCTTAACGAAGAACCCCAATTTTGGGCGGACTCGTAAGCTCGGAGAGAAAACCGCGAGGATCCCTAACGTCCTGCTCGTCCTCATCTCTGCGAGGATCCCCAACGTCCCTCGTCCTGCTCGTCGCTCGTCGTCGACCTTGCCCTGCTTCCTCGTCGTCGTCCTCCTCACCCTCATCTCTGCGTCTTCTCGCCCTCATCTGGTCGGAGACAGTCTGGTAAGCTTCAAATCTTCGATTGATTTCGTCGAATTGAGATTAGAATTTGGGGTTTTCATATTTTTAGTTCAAATTGAGATTAGAATTTGGGGTTTTCGTATTTCAACTTTTCTGGTAAACTTCAAAATCAATTTTTAGGTCAAATTGAGATTAGAATCTGTTTATACCATATTTAAGGCCTCGTATATTTGGGCCTTGGGCCTTGTATTTGGGCCTCACACTAAAGCCCATACTTTGTAAAAGAGGAGGAGCCCCTTATTCTATAAAAGGGGACTCCTACCCTCATTCTGAGGGAGGCAAAAGAGCCAAGCCTAAGAAGGCTAAGAGAAGCTATCATTACATTCAGGAGAGACCTCACACCACCGAGGCTCTCCTCTCCCTTCTCTTCTTTCTCCGGGGACTTCCCCCAAACACTTGTATCCATACACTTACAGAGAAACAGAATCAACTATCAGTGTGGACGTAGCCCAAACCTTGGGGTGAACCACGATAACTCTTGTGTCATTTACATTACTTGCAGATTCACAGTCGGATTTACGTTGTTCCAAGACCATCCGGTTTTGTGCATCAACAGAATCTATGTGTGTAATCTTTGTGTGTGTCTGTGTGTGTGTGCGTGTGTGTGTATACTATGTGTGTGTGTACTCTGGTTTGTCTGTGTGTGTGTGTATACTCTCTGTGTGCGTGTAATCTCTGTTTGTGTATACTCTATGTGTGTGTGTGTGTTGTGTGTAATATGTGTGTGTGTAAGTGTAATATGTGTGTGTATACTGTGTGTGTGTGTGTGTGTGTGTATGTATGTATGCAATGTGTGTGTGTATGTATGTATGTATGCAGGGTGTGTGTGAGTGTATGTCCGTGTGTGAGAGTGTGTATGTCCGTGTGAGTATGTGTG